ACTCGGCAATATTTTTGGGGGCGCATTCCTTGAACGAGGAGAACGTACGAGCTGTGGAGAGATCGTGCGAGGTGTTGAACGCGTACCTCAACGACCGCGAGTACGTTGCCGGCGATACGCTCACCATTGCCGATTTTGCCATCCACACGACCATTTGCGTCCTGTTGGTAAGTAGTTTCCACGCGATACGTAATTATCTATTATATCTTATTTTATCCGCCTTGCACGTCTCTGTTATGTAATTATAATATAACGTTATCGATGTGTAATTATAAGCAGAGAAGATGAGATAATTGGAAGAAACGACGTATCTATTAAAGGCATCAAATATGTGTATTTTAACAGTGTTTTGACTTCGATATCGACCGATACGACAATCTGGCGACTTGGTACGATAGTTGTAAGAAAGTTTTGGATAAATTTGGTTTCGAGGCTGTGCACGCTCCCGGAACGAAATTGTTTGCCGACTTGTATCGGGCGAATTTACAAGGATCTACTTAAAAGGGTGTAGAATGAAACGATGATCGAGATTAGGCATGGAACGAATTCGTTTCGTTTAACGAGATGTTTAAGAAGAAAAATAAAATAGAAAATCGTTGCACTCGATATCTTGATGCCTTATCCGGGGAGCGTAGATGTTATCTTCTTATATTTAGAATCATCGTGAAAAATAAAATTGACGTGTTTTTAATAATTATATAAATATACTATGTTAATAAAAAATTAAATAAATTACCATGTTAATAAAAATTTAAGATGAATGTTACAAATTTACATTGATCGATGTGAATCGTATCTTTTGCTTTGAGCAAAAGATCGTCTCGTTCACGTATTACGTATGTATATGATGTATTGAAGAAATTAGCGAATAGAACAAAACAGTTCTCAGAAAAATGATATCTCTAAGATAATAAGTTATCGAATTCACTATCGACTTATTTAATTTAAGCAAATATTATTATACGTATTATTTTAAAATAACGTTAATGCACGTTAATAAATAAATATTGGAGGAATATTCGTCGAATTTTTAAATACCTCGAAAATTTTATGAAATTTCCCGATTCTTATTATTGAGATAATAATAGATAAATACACAAACGGAACGACAATTCTCGTTGCCGGGATCTTGAAGATTTCGATCAAAGTTGAACAAAAGATCGCAGCTTTCTCCTCGAGCTGCGACCTTCGCTCAGCGTCTCTAAAAAACGTGACCGTATTCGCCTAGTGGAATTCCAATATTTTTCGCGCTTAAAAATAAAAATAAACTTAACGCAATGAAGTTAAACGAAATGGAAATAGTTTTTTTTATTTTTTTACGAAATATCGAAATATCATTTTTTTGAAAAATCGTTTATCCGTATTATGTATCTCTCAATTGTTGCAAAAAATAATTCGACGCATGAGTAAGAAATATACAATAAAAATCATAATTGATATAATTATATCTTTATCTCGAATACCATTATTTTTTTTTTATATGAGAAAAAAAACATTATACAACTTTTCTATTTACATACATACATAAAAATTGCATATTATCATATAAATAATTTATCATTATGATAATTCTTCTCTCGGAAACATTTCGTGCGTGATACGTATTGATTTTTCTGATAATCAAAAATGTAATAAATACTGTTATTCGCGATAAATTATTTCAAACGAGACAAATCATCCGGAAAAGAAGAGAGATCTAATGCGTTACAGTCAGCGATAAGAAAAAAATCTTCGAAATAAAAGAAATTTTTTCGAGAGTCACATTCTTGTCTATCCTTTCCTATCCTTTTCCTGAAAAAAATAAATTTTCTTATTCAACAACATTTTCTATCCACGAATTTTCATTTGAAATCAAACGAATCTCCTTACCGAAATAACGTACGAAGACATTTTTGTCACTGCCTGTACACCGTTGATAATATATTCACTGTATAAATATTTTTAAATTTCATTTACACATTTACATAACTTCGCTTCGAATGGTTATTCAAAATGTGTCACGTTTATTTATGCAATATACCTATAACAGATACAATACAATAAACGTTTAGTTAGAAACGCAACAGTTTCGCTTGCAATGGAGAACCGAACGCAAAGATCGATTCCATTAGGCCGCCGTTAGAAACAGGGGCCGCCAATCAGAGGCGCATTCTTCTCAAGGGCAAATCGCTGAATCGGCCGCGATACGTTCTAACGAATTGGAAAGGGATGAAAAGAAAGCGAGTCGCGTCACATTCGATGTTCGACAGTTGAAATCGGTCGAGCGTGCAACGTTGCTCGCGTTACTCGCCTCTTCAAAAGGAGGACGCGTACGCCGACACATTATAAAAAGATTGAAGGAGCTTACACATTTAAATAGTTCGTTAATTATCTCGCGGGACAACAGAGCTCGTATTATATAAATTTACTTTGCGCGCCTCTCTTCATTTATTTTTCCCTCGGTCACAAATCATCCTTGTTTTCGCCGCCTCGAGCCTGGTACGCAATTTCAAATGTTTTCAACCGTTGTGCCGCCGTGTTCAGTTTCTAATTTAATGTGTTAATCGCCATCTACGCTTCCGTCTACTACACTTGTGTGTCCACGCCTACGAGCAAAATATATACAATTTGTTTTTCTTTTTCTTTTTCTTTTGTTTTCTTGGTTTAACGATCGATATAAGCATGTTGTTCTCGAACAAAGTTATCGAGTTGATGCATAGCGGCGACGGTGGATCAGGAGTTGGTAAAATTATTCTTTTCTCGAATAGAAAAGGCTGAAATATAATTTAGAAATTCTGTTGTGAAAAGTTTCGACGTTGTATCGAGAATTTTAGAGAAAAAAAAAAATCATCTTATAAAAAAATTTTATAACAATTTATATCGAATAAAATAATGCGATATTAAGTTTTAAAAATATTAATCATCAAGGACAATGAATTAACCAATCGTATAAGGGAGTTATTTAATAATTGTGCTTACAAATTGTATTTACTTTAATCATTTTCTTTTCTTTGTTTTGAAACATAGTTATATCGTTGATTGATAATATTTGTACTTGCCTTATGTCTTTTTTTGTAATTTTTGAATACAATTACATGATAATTACATTTAAAATGGATATATATATATATATTTTTTTATTTTTTAAAAACAATTTAGGTAAATAAAAAAGTGTTAAAAAAAAATGGAAAATTAATCAACGGTTAATGATATTTGCGTTAATAAGAAATCATTCGTAATTGATTATTCGAATGTTACATCGCGTGTTGCAGAAATTAAAATGCCGATCGATTTTTATCAACTTCTCGGAAGCCCACCTTGCCGAGCAGTTGCATTGACGGCCGCTGCTCTTGATATCGAAATGAACTTCAAACAAGTTAATTTGATGAATGGGGAACACTTGAAGCCTGAATTTTTAAAGGTACGAAAAAATACGAATACCGGCTCGATTTGTTTGATTCGAGATATAAAGAGAAAAACGAGAATGAAATCAATTAAATCGTAGATAAACCCACAACACACGATACCTACAATTGATGACAATGGTTTCTATTTATGGGAAAGGTAATATATCCATCTTTATTTTTTTTTTTTTTCTTTTCGATGAAAAAAATTTATTGCGATTAATAATACTTCGTAATTGCAACAACACCGCCCTACTGTACTTGAACCGTATTCTACTTTCAGTCGAGCCATTATGATGTATTTGGCGGACCAATACGGCAAAAATGACTCTCTGTACCCGAAGGATCTGAAGAAACGGGCGATCGTTAATCAAAGATTGTACTTCGACATGTGCAATTTATATAAATCGTTCATGGATTATTACGTGAGTTATATATACAAATTATTCGATTATATATTTAAAATTATTTATTATTATTATTAATAAGAAAATTGATAAAACGATTTTATGAAAGCAAACGATTTGATTAATTCGTGAAATGAAATAGAATAATAATAATGATAATAATCGGAAATAATTTCATTTTTCAGTATCCTATCATTTTCATGAAAGCGGGTAAAGATCAAGCAAAATACGAGAACATTGGCACGGCGCTTTCGTTTCTCGATAAATTCCTCGAAGGGGAAAGCTACGTGGCAGGAAAGAACATGACTCTTGCCGATTTAAGTATCGTAACCACTGTCTCCACGATAGAGGTAAATACTCTTGACGATGTTATCTTATCGAAATTTCCTTCATACGTGTGATGTTTGAACAAATCGAGCAATTTTTTCTAAGTGAGGATTGTTGAGTGTTTTTGCATGTAATATTTCATTTCAACGATTGTGTATTGCGAGCAGAGTTGAGAAAAAGGTAAAAGTTAAAAATCTCGAATAACGTTGCTTCGTAAAAGTAATTATTTTTATCAAAACGTTCGAATAATCGTTCATCGTTCGTAGCTGTTGTATCATTGTCGATCCGTAACTTCTCGTATAATCTCGCCCATTACAATTATTTGCGATCATCGTTTCGTCGTTTCGAACGATAAAATTATCGAGGTGACTTTATTCGTAACTTCTAACTATTAAATTTTCCCCTGATTACAAGCGTATACGTAATAATAACATTACAAACGCGTCGTTATGTAGATCTTTCCAAGATTCGATCACGTTGGGAAATATCACATTTTTTTTTTCTTTTTTCCGATAAAAGAATCACTTTTATTTACTCGATCTGATGAAATTATATTTCTTTTAAAAATTTTTAATAATAATCGTATTATCGTTGTCATAACAGGTCATGGACTACGATCTCAGCAAATATAAGAACGTTACGAGATGGTTCGCAAAGATAAAATCTGAGATACCGAAATACGAAGAGTACAACAACGGTGGATTAAAAATGTTCAAAGCCTTGGTGGAGGAAAAGTTGTCGAAAAAGTAAACCGAAGATGGGATGATATAATTTATTGTGCGTTTATATTATAATTCCTTTCCGCTTTTTATTATTATATGAACAATGATTTTACACGAATAAAGTGTTGGTTCATCCTTTCGGGGATTGAATTTTAATTATAATTTTCCAATCGAATTTATTTCTCTTCTTATGTTTCCACATTGTAATTCTTGATATCTCGATCGAAAAAATATCGATATTGACTTCCGTCCATTCCGTTTCTCCGATAATTTCCCGAAAAATTTCACCACGATGGATCCAGTAATGGATAAAAATTTAGGAAAAATAAATCACACGTGTCATCGCGTATTTTTTTTTTTTT